TATATTTACCTACAATATAATTTTAAATATTTGTAATGTTAAACACTATGTTTTTAAAACATAAAACGAATGTGCCTAATGTACTGAAAACATAAAACGCATGTAGGTACCTAATGTATTGAAAACGTAAAATAGCAGCACTCAAAGGAAAATATAATAAATTAATTACCAGTTGCATTTTTATACAGCATATGTTTTATTTATTTATTGTTCTTTCTTTTTTATTTATTATTTATTCTAACAATTGTTTTAATTTTCATATAAAGTGTGCTTTACGGTTTTAATTTACAATTCATTGCCACTTTCATTTTAACAAATAGCACACGACATCAACACATTTATTTTTTATTAGGGCAATTCATCTCAACGCGTGAACGCCTCGTACACTTACTTAATTTTGTATGGAAAGCCGACACAGTTACGAGGCAATTACCCGTTTAGATAAATACCCTGAGTGTAATTTTGTATCTACATACATACATACATACATATGTATATATGGATAACATATCGCTCACCAGACCTGTGTAATGATTGAATCAATTGAGTGTGCATTCTCATTTTTTTCGTTTCAAAAATGTGATTGTTTGATTTAAAAAATTTAACAACCACTCTTGAGATTGGTTACAAATTGTAAACACAAAATATGTAGTGTGTTATGGAATGGTTGACACCCATTCACATAGAGAATGTGAATGCAAAAAAAGAACTCAATCATGTATGATTGGACGTTTATGGGAATGCAATCTGTCAATATCATTCAGTACTAATACTATTTGTTGTATCAGGGTTGAAATTTTTGTACTCAAAATGTGAAACCAGAAGATTGCCATCTCCCTCAAAATAAGTAAACAAATAAATATTTGGTGCTAAAATATTTTTCTAAGTGTTTGGCCGAACTTCTGCTCAAACTTGAGGCATGAGTTCTGATTTTATAAGAAGAGTTTTCAAGGCAGAAATATACTCGAAGGTTTGCCATTGCGTGCCGAAGGACGACTGCTATTTTGGGTTATGATCTGACCAGGTATTTAACCATGGTCCTATGGAGTGGAAGTACGCACATGTAATCACTCTGCTACGGCGGCCGCCGTAAGTACATGCTATACATATCGTCGTTTAAAGTACAAAACCGCGTATCAAGAAAATGCAAAACCGCGTAATTGCATAAATTATTTTCTAGAGAGTAAAGTCACCCATATTTCAAAATGGTTATCTTTTTTATAAAGCAAAC